TAAGGCTAATGAACTTGATCAAGCAATTCTTAAAGCGTGGGTGTGTTGTGGATTTCCTTTTTGTACAATAGAAAATCCATTTATTATTGATCTTTTTAAACTCGCTATTCCGGGATATACTTTACCATCACGCACTACTCTTTCTGGCAGACTTTTGGATCAAGAAACTGCTAGGATTGAAAAAAAAATTGAAAATGAATTAGAAAAAGAGGAAAATCTTACGCTTAGTAAGTTTTAATTTTAAAAACAATACCTAAATAGCGCTATATTTCGTATCATACTGCATAAAATATTTTCAAAAAAAATAGTATCCTCTTGATCAAGATTTGGGTATTATTCACCGCCCATCTTGAATAATACCTGAAGTATAACTATATTTAATTTATTATTTTCATATGATATATCCCCTACATATAGTATCTGGTTCCTCATACAGTACTCGTGGGTACTATTCAATTTAAAAAATAGAGGTCTTGAATAAGACCCTGGGTACTGTATGCAGTGCGATTAGAGATGGGTTTCATGCGTGCGTATGATTGAGGAATCATGCGCATTAATGCGTATTCATGCGCATAATACCGTTTCATGCGCATTTTATCCCATCAAAATTTCTCTCCTCTTAATCATTTTTGCTTTTTTTTATCATGCGATATCATGCGCATGAAACAATTCGTGCGCATTAATGCACATTCATGCGCATTTTATTATAAAATGTGTATTTTTCCTATCTCTAAGTACGATATAGTAAAATTTCTATATACTATATTAAAGAGTTACAGATTAACTTCCTGAATTCTATTTTTCTAAAATACCATTTTGCCAAAGCCATAATACTGGCAATCTATTTTATTGGCGAAGTAGAATTTGATATTTATTGTGACTACTATTATTACAGCATATTTGTCAAATTAAGCCTAAATTTAAATATCAAATTTTATATTAATCGATTAGCATTAAATCTTAAAAAATTTTTTATATTTATAAACTATACTAATAAAGGCATTTAACCTAAATTATAATTAATTTATTTAGGCATGGACGGGTGGACATCTCCAAGAGGAGATTCGATCTATAATTATGTTGTTACAACACAAAAGCGAAAAGAATATTTGATAAAGCTTAGATCATATAATGAGAGTCAGACTAGACAATTTATGGCAACTGAAATTAGAAAAGTATTACAAAATATTGGACTTAAAAAATTCGCAGCAATTGTAACAGACCACGGATCTAATTTAAGTGTTGCACGTCAACTTATACATAACAAACATCCATCTATTTTAAATTTTAGATGCATATTACATGCAATTAACTTAATCGCTTCAGATTTAGCAAAAATCGATTCTGTTAAAATAGTTATAGCTAATTGCAATAGTATTTTAGAATTTTTTAATAGATCGTATATTGCAAATAGTTATTATAAAGAACAAATGGCGGCTATGAAAATAAAAGGTGGTGAAATTCAATTATATACTAAAACTCGATGGGGTTCTTTGTATACTACAACAGATTCTATAATTCAATCAAAACCTGTATTTGACTGGGTAAGTAAATAATATTTATTATTTTTTACTATAAGGAAACAATCTGGTAAATTTAAGTTTGTTAAAGCAGTCCTTAAGTTCGGGTTGATTATTTATATTACTATTTGCCACTACATGCAGTATTCTTCAAAAATAATACCCCCTTAACTAAACCCCAGTATTACGCATCACTCTCCTAGCTTAATACCTGGAGTATAACTATACGAATTTATTACTATTTATATGATATATCCTCAAATATAGTACCCACTTTCTTCGGTTTCTTATACAGTTACCCACGGGCACTATTCAATTTAAAAAATGAAGTTTATAAATAAAAACTAATATTAAATTTTTATTAAATTTTTTTATAGCTTTTAGAAAATCATACTGAAATTATTTCAAATAAGGCTGTGTTTGATTTACTTCAAAATGAAGAGTTTTATTTGAAGTGTTGTCAAATGGCATCTATTCTTAAACCAGTAAAAGAATTAACTAATATTCTTGAAGCCCGCAATGCAAATTTAGCAGAATGTTTTATTGGTTTAACAAGACTTGCGATTAGTATTAATAGATTAGAGTCAGGAAATCAGTGGAAAACACCATTGATCAACAATTTTAATCGCCGTTTTGAAGAATTTATTAATGATTTCTATATATTAGCCTATTGGCTTCATTCGTTATATCGTGGTAATAATAATATATATACATATATTGTACATCAATTTAAAATATGCATTAAATCAAAATAATTATATGTAATATTGCTACGTAATACCTACCCTTACCCTAATGAAACTTTATTGAAATTTTGATTTAATACAAATTTTAATTTGATGCAACATAAGTTATACAACAGAATAAAATCTAAGTAAAATTCAAATCTACATAGTGAAGATTACATATATTAGCTTACAACTTAGATTTTATTCTGTTCTATAATAAATATTTTTTTAATATTTAATTTTTAATTTATTCAAAAATTTTATTTATAGGTTGTAGATTACAACAAAATGCATTAAATAAAATATATGAAACTGCATCACTCATTTGGTATAATTTTAAGTATACGGAAGCATCGTGTTTAAGTCTTTTATCAGAAATGAGATCATGGAAGCGTAAAGAACCTCAGTATGATCTTAGTTATAATCAATCTAAAGAAACGCCACTGAAATGGTGGATGAGCGTGAATGTAGATGTAGAAAATGATCAATTACAAGAACTTGCTTTATTTCTATTTTCAATTGTTCCATCCCAGGCGGTCTGCGAAAGGAATTTCTCTACACTAAAATGGCTTTTCAGAGATAAGCGTACACAATTGAGTTTATTACGAATTGAATCCATAGCAAAGATTAGATCTTTTTATGTTTCAAATACGGATAAAGAATTGAGGGTTTATGATAAAGATATAAATGATAAAGACTTAAGAGAAAATTTAAATAACTCTGTAATTATGCAGCAAATTGAAGATTCAGAAATTGAAGACGATAATAATAATGATTCGCAACAAATGTTGACTAATAATTTAAATCTCAGTCAAATCGTTGATTTAACTTTACCCAAATTTTTATCAACTAATATTACTTTATTTGAATCTGCTATTAATAGATTATCTTCTCACGAAAGGGCTTATAATTTAGAACGTAGAGAATATAATCCGATTCAGTTAGCACAGCAAATGATAAATGAAGAAAATAATTTGTAATTCATTAAAATATATCAATATATTTTTGTCAGCTATATTTTTTTGTGTTTAGAATATATTATCGTTATTGAAATTATTAAAATTTGCTTTTTGAAAAATTATATACGTATGGTAGCACGAATTTGGTTGGTACATAGCAAATTGGGATTCTGGAAAGTTTTAATGGAAATTGTGATTTTTTTAGAGTTGTATATCAAAGTTTGGATATACATTAGCATATTATAATTTATGCAATCTTGCATGCAGCATTCTATCTTAGTGTAATAAATCTTATTTATCGCTAACACTAATATTAATATAATTAGACGAATGATAATGATTTTTCATTATAAGTAGTGCAATAATTCTATTTTATCATAAATACAAATTCGAATAAAATTGATCAAAGAGAAATTCTATTTTCACCCGGGTTAGAGTCACCCGATATTATATTATCTAATTATTACAGCTGTTCTCATAAATTTTGGGACATCTGGTAAAAAATTGACTGAATGATTTTAGGCCGATTCGATAAGTTTATGATTTCGGCAATGTGCAATTACGTAATAACGTGCATATCTTCGACTTTGTGATTTTGATAATGATTTAGATAAATAATGAAATAAATTATATAATATACATATCACTATTTTTATTCTTGCTAAATGACATTCTCAAAGACATTCGTTGGACAATCGTTGAAAAATATTTGGAAGGCCTAACAGTTCGGGTAATTGCCAAACATCTAGGTGTTAGCAGGTCTTCCGTAAGTCAAATCCTCAAACATTTTCGAAGATACAGATGTGTCAAAAAGCTTCCAGCACTTTTGGGAAGACCACGTTTATTAAATTTAGATGATATAAAGTATTTTAAAGCTTTATTGAATGAAAAACCCGATTGGTATTTGTATGAATTACAATCAGAGATGGTGTGTTGGTTAGGACATAAAGTTAGTTTATTGACAATTAGGAGAATTCTACATCAGCTAGGATATACAAATAAACAATTATATATTTTAGATGTATATGCCATAAATTATAAATTATATTAAAATTCAATTTCTTCAATGTTCCAGAAGTTTTTTATATTTTCGAGATCATGTGGAATTGCTAATGCCCCCATCGAGTTTTTTATCAAATCGATCGTAACACACTAGTATAACAAATGCTAAAATAAAATAAAATTAAATTTGAAAATAAGCTTATATAATATTAAATATATAAAATATATAACGTATCTTACTTTTAGCTGGTTCTTTTGGTGCAATAGTTTTTGATTGGGTTGCTGTTTTTTCAGATAAGTTGGATGTTGCATTAAATTCAGTTGCTATCACTATTGCTTCAGCCAAGTCTGGTAATTCAGATTCAGCCACGATTACTTCAGACAAATTAGGCGTTTGTAAAATATTTGTTACGAACGAACAAGCTAAAGGTTCTTTAGTTGTCAAGTCCATTGTTTCAACATTTTTGTCTGATTCATACTGGTTTTCTTTTTGGCCAATATTTTATAATAATCATTATATATTAAACCTTTTAAATAAATAACATAACGCACAAAATTTTACTTTGATTTCGTTGATTATAATTCTCAACGCAGCTTTGACAAATGTTGATAAAATCTTGGTTGTTCGGAATTATAACTCGAATTATATTGTTTTTAATCCAGTCAATAAATTCTCGATCATAATGAACTTTTTTTTTATTAGCGCCTACTCGTGTTATATATTTATTATAAAAGGCTATCTTATATTTAGAACCTTTTTTATGTTTTTATTAAAATCCATCAGTTGGCAAGAACAATTTCGTACATACTAAACACACTAAGCATACTGAACATGCATTTAAACGAAAACCTAACTTCGAATGTGTTGACATTGTAGTGGCAGTCAGAATTCTATCATTATGTATTAAAAAATAATCGCTTTATATACTAATCAGAAGTTTATCACTGCCGAAATCATAAACTTATCGAATCGGCCTAAAATTATTTGGTCAATTTTTTACCAGATATCCAAAAATTTATAAGAGCAGCTGTAATACCCTGGCTCAACTCTCTCACATGATTTTTGCCAGAAGGAAATTTACAACTAGTTAGTATATTATTTACTCAGTAAATTAGTAAGAAAAATATTCTGACTTTTTTTATTATGTATACACATATATTGGCAAAGTATTTTAATAGCTTTTAAGCATGACTGGGATATTACGCTTTAATAACAACCCAGGTAGTTGTTGTCACTGTAATTTAACGCTTACATTGTACCAAGTTAATTATTACAACATTTTAATGTAACGTTGTTTTTTACAATAGTCACTAGTTTCACCAGCTCAATTTAGTTTCACTAGCAACTCTAGTATAATATAACATGGTTAGAACAAGCATTCGTTTTGTCAAAATTGCTTATTTCTTAAAATCTGTATAAATAATTATCTTTAGTACTCTAACAAAATGTTTCTTTAAGCGATTTTACTATAATACCTAACCTCAATATAAATGCTAAAATAAACTTTAAAGCATTTTGCTTGTAATACTACAAATCTGGTATATATTTTTAATAGTATTGCTAGTATTACCAGTTTCACTAATTTCGCTAATTTTAACAGTATCACCAATTTCACCAGTATCACCAGTATCACCAGTATCACCAATATTACCAGTATCACCAGTATTACCTGTATTACCAGTATTACCAGTATCACCAGTATCACCAGTATCACCAGTATCACCAGTATCACCAGTATCACCAGTATCACCAGTATCACCAGTA